ACCCCCCCCCCCCCCCCCCCCGCGGGATAAACCCCTCATATCGAGTACATGCCTAATGCTTTCCCGCTCCCCCTCCAATTATTAATTATTGGGAAACTTATAATACTCAGATCGTAAAATTGATTATTCTGCTCCTAACAGTCCGGTAAACCCTCATATATGGTTCATGCCTAATGAACCCAAACATGCTCTCCAATTGCACCAACCAATTTATGAATAAAAATGACCATAAACCAACCAAAATTTGAAATGATAAATAAACTTGTAAAGATAAATTAGAAGTGCTTTTCAATAAAAAAAAAGTATTTTGATGTTACTTTGATATTTTTATACTCCCTTAGGTCATGTTCTCATCAAGTTATTCGTATTACTTATTACTTATTCTTATTTAAATAAGATCAGATCTGAAAAAAAACTTTATAATAGAATTACAATTAGATCAATTAAAATAACATAAAAAATTATTCCAATCAGATTAGAACTAATCAGATCATGTGAAAAAAGAACATGACCTCAGTCTCTAAAATATTTTCCTCTTTTAAATTTTTTTCTGTTCCAAACAGTCATTTAACTATGTATTAAAAAGTTATTTTTAACTCTATTAATTATTACCTTATCTATTACACTATATTCATTCACTACTAATATACGTATCACATCAAGAGTAACTATGAAAAATTTTAAACTAAAATAATTCATCTCTTAAATTTCATAAATTTTCAAAAGAGAAAAGAGTTTTCGGTTGGAGAGTGTAATATTCTCCACGTCCCTAATTTGATTAGAAATTGAGATTTACAAGGTAAACCTTTCATCTTTGAAATCATTTTATTTACAAATTGATATATCAATAAGAAATAAAAACTACTCCCTTCGTCCCTAAATATTTGTCACACTTCTATTACCGAGGTAAAATATCAAGTTTTTTCAATTCATTTTATTTATGTATTGGTATAGAAATAAAAAATAAAATTTACATATCAAAAAATTACATGAAAAGTTTTTCGAAATAAGAGGTGTCAAGAATATTTTATTTTATCAAATAACCAAAGAAAATATAGAAATAAATAAAATTTTCCGCGGCTGCTAAAAAAGCAAGTGTGGCAAATATTGTGGGACGGAAGGAGTATATATTATGTCAAAAACAGGTGAGAAGAATATTTTATTTAATCAAATACTCAATGAAAACATGCAAATAAACAAAACTTATCGAGATGAGAGAAAAAAAGATTATAACCAAAATTGGGACTATGAGAGTATAATGAATCAAATCCATTTAAAAAAAGGTAAAAAATATAAACAGAAAATGACCCAAATTGTATGAAACACCACAAGTAAATGACATTAAAAATCATATAGGCAATAATCAAACTTAGTAGTAATACTCCATGCTTATTCAGTTATTGGTTGCCATCAAATGTCAATTATACAGGATTTCTTGGAGTCTTCTACACATCAACTTTAACACCGTTAGCAATTATACGGGTGAGAAAAGGTAATTTTTCACCTGCCAAACTCCGTTTAGATCAGAAAGGTGGCCACACTACAGATCTCTCTCTCCGGCGTCCTCAGCTCTCTCTCTCTCTCTCCAGCATCCTCTCTAGACAAGGAAGTTGAATTCCGACATGGCTTCCTTATCTTGTTCGCCGTCTTGGTCCAAGTCTACTCTAGCTGATTCTAGCGAGTTCTTCACTGCTAACATCAATGCAGGTTCCATAGAAACCGAGCTGTCCAACGATGCCACAATGACTGAGGCCAGAGAAAACCGTGATGAAGGAACGCCGTAGGTCGAATTCCGGCGGCCAGCAGCGCACTGGTGGTGGAGAGGAGGAGATTGTGGCATATTGTACCACCTCTGCATCTCCATTTCCTGGTTGAAACTTAGGGCTTTTGTCTAGGAAAATGATGTCCAGGCTGTTAGACCCCTGAGCCAGAAAAGGATGACCCTGAAGTCAGGGTGTGAAGGCGAGGAAGATGAAGACCCTTTCATGGATAAGGACGTACCTGAAGATTTGAGCAAGAAGACCAACCTTTTGAGTCGTCCTTTGACTACAGTGCAATGGGTCAATTTTATCTTTATCACTACAGCTCTCCTCTGTACTTTCAAGATTCATGTGCTAAGAAGTATGATTCTTGCTGGCCTTTACTTATGGAAATGGGTCTTTATGATGTTCTTGTGATCTTTGAACGAATTCTTTCTGGTGGGGGGGGGGGTAAGAATTGTAGTCCTCTTTGTGGAACGCAACTTTCTATTGCGAAAGAAGGTTCTTTATTTTATCTATGGACTGAGAAATGCACTGCAAAGCTTTGTTTGGTTGAGTTTAATCTTCATAGGTTGGGAGTGCTTGTACAATACGAGGCATGAGAAGGTCACAGCAAAACAGAATACTGGCACTAGTGACCCGAATCTTGATATGTCTGCTCGTGGGAATGTTTGTAAGGTTTGTAAAGACATTGCTTGTAAAGGTCCTAGCTCTATCATTCCATGTCAGCACATTCTTTGATCGGATTCCAGAGTCCCTATTCGATCAATATGTGGTTCAAACTTTGTTTGGCCTTCCGTCGACTGGGATTTCCCGTGAGCAAGAGGGGGATGATGACAAGACAGTGGCCACTACAAGCAGCCCACGTGCATGGTTTTCAAGATTGATGCCTAAGAAAAACAAGTCCGAGGGGAGAAGAAGCATTCTCGATCACCTGAGAAGGCTTACTCAGAAAAATATCTCAACCTGGACTATGAAGAGGCTGATGCGGATTGTTCGGAAAGGTGTGTTGTCGACCTTAGATGAACAGCTTCATGAGTCCAGAAGTAGAGATGAATCTGCAGTGCAAATTACAAGTGAGAAACTAAAAGTTGCAGCCAAAAAGATTTTCAATAGTGTGGCTAAGCGAGGCTCTGATTGAGTACCATTTACTTACTCTGTGATTTGCTGTTTAAAACTCAAAATTAGTTTCCTACACTAGCTTAATCCCTTTGGGGAGCTTGTTACAGATTTATTAATTAGCAGAAAACTTGGTCATCAGCATTTACCTTTTTTCTGTGTTTTCTCTTAATTTGCACTGATTTAGATTTGTACTAATTACAGATTTGCAATGATGTGAAAAATTCAAATTCATTAATTACAGATTTGTACTAATTACCTTTTTTCTATGTTTTGTCTTAATTCACTGGTCTATAACTACACTTTAAAATTAGATTTTTCACATCATTGAATGAAATTCCAAATCAGAACAAGTCACATCAGTCCAAGGGAACTTGTGTTGTTGGGTATCAAGTTATATAGTGGGCTTCATTTCATTTGTGATAATTGGCCTTCCCAAATGGAGTGAGTAGGTGTATGTGTAGAGTGTGATATTCTAAGCGCCTTTCATCTGTAATATATAATTCAACTGGAAGATATAATTTAAGTGCAAAATGACAGGAGCATTTTTTAACTCAGTCCATCCCTAAGAGTTGAACTGCATATGTACCTAGCCATTTCTTTCTCCATTGTCCCTCCTAAGTGTTTTACATAGTTTTTCATCATTTATCTTATGAAAATGTGATTAATTAGTATGGCGAACATGTTTGGGGATAATATAGGTATATTTACAAAGAGGATCTCGTATGCTTTATGAGAGAGGATGAGGCATTGAAAGTGTTGCATCTGATTGAAGGTATATTTACAATCCTTCTCACCTTGGTCAGCTAATTTGGTACTCGTCTTAACAAATATTAGCCTCAAGGTTTTACTAATCGGTAAGTTTTCATAAGTTTTTTAAAAGTGAAATTGAGAAGAATCCTAAGTTAAATCCCAACCACAATCTATTGATGTCCTATTCCAGCAAGTAAGCGGCCATTGATCATTCGTTCTACACTCAGAGTTGTGACACTAAAATGTTTTGAGACCAGAATGAGGCACTCAAAGTATTGCTAAACGTAAACACGGTAAATAATCATCAATCTTGAAGAACATACCATAATTAAACACCACTTGCTAAAAAAATTGCATCCAAAAAAATTACTATGTTGAACAAAACTTATCATCCAATGTTTGCTGGTAAAAAATTTGAAAAATAAGAGGAAAATGAAACTCAATAAAAAATAATCAGTTTGTAAGAGCACTCAAAGCAAAAGAATACATCAAAAGCTTATGCAACCATTGGAAATATCAAAGTCATTGTAAAAGCATGTGAAAATTCCACAAATAGTTTAATCAAAAGCCTAATCATAAAACAATCCATTCATGTATGGTATGCCGCAATTTTGACCAAATCTCTTTAACTTGTCAATTAATACACAATTTTGGCTAATAACACTTCACTGTGTTTACAGTGATTGTGGCAAGATTATTTTTTTTGAAGATTCTACCGAAACCGTAACAATGATAATGTACTGGACTTTTTTTCCCATTAGGCCGTTAACCAAATGGTTTACTTCGAAAGGTAAATACTATGCCATGGCATAAAGAAAGGTCAAACTCTGGTTATGCAAATTGCAAGCAGTAAAGGTAAAAACCTGAATGAACAGAGTAACCCCCCTCCCCCTCCCAAGCAAACAAAGCAAATGAATCTTATGTATGAGCTCAGCCAAATCCTAACATTGACCATATTAAAGTTACCAATACTCGAACGACACCAAGTGAGTGACTAGGTGTTAAGAGAAAATAGTACTCCCTCCCTGCGCGTTACGAGGCTTGACCGACTTTATTTTCAATTCAATTTATTTGAATATAGGGGTAAAATTTTAATATAAAATCTATGTAGTAATAAACTACATGAAAAGTTCCACAAAACTAGAAGTGACAACACTATATTATTTTATGAAATGAGTAGTAAAAATGAACAAACTAATTGAATTAAGTTTGACCCTGTGAATAATGTCTAGGAAGATCTATGGTGGACATGGGGAGTATTTTAATCAACCTTTTCTTTAGCAGTGGCACGCCGCGCAGTCTTGCGATGCTTGGAAGCATCTTCAGGAACTTCAAATTCAACCCTTACTCCATTATTTTCTGAATTTGAATTAGGAATTGACCCATCTTCCCAATCCAGATCATCGTCATCTTCAATCTCAGGATTCAAATGATGAGTTTTCTCCCTCTAGCTTCCATTTTTGGTGGAGTGTTTTGCCCTATGCTCATTCCATCAGGAGTAGCATCAAATGCAGTTCTTGCCGTTCGTTTGTCCTTACATTTTTAAAAACACAAAGAAAAAGGGGGAACAAAACAAACCATTCTCTTTAACTGAAAGCCCGCTTTGTCGTTCTGAATCAATATGAGAACTGCTACCCATCACTCCTTTGGCTGCCACAAAAGGAAGGGAACAAAATGGAACACCTCAATACCGGCCAAATCAAATAATTCTAACAATGATCAAACACATTACCAAGAGTTTCAAGTTTGCATCTTTTGTTCAAACAACACATCGGGTACTTTAACTTGAAAACGGCAAAAATAAGAAGGTAAATATGCTAATCATGAAGTGAAATATACGTATAGCTTCATGTAAACACCACTTGCTAATAAAATTGCAATCAAAAAAATTACTATGTTATAGATTACATAAGAAAGCTCAACATCGTTAGCAAATTCTTTCGTGGTTTTAAGGTTACACTCATTTTATAGACCTCAGAATATAAAAGCCTTTGATGAATTGAGCTCTTATGAAAAAATACTCGTAAAAGATTTTCATGTCAGCCCATGAAAAATGTAAGAAGATCAATATTTCATATGTAGACCTTAAAATCATGGAAGCACTACTCATTAAAATTACCCCTTAAAAATCTCCGACCGGATTTTCTCGATAAGCTCAAATTGATAAAATTACGTACTTGACCCAAAAATATTTACTTACAATATGAAGTAATTTAAACTTCGTAAAAAAGGCAAGAACATAAATTCAATCCTTAATAACTTTAATATAGTTAATTCAACAACTTGTAATGACATACACATGGTAAGCTTCATTAAAAATGCAAAGACATATCTTTGAGATAGTAATTCACTTGAGGGTTTAATGTTGCTCCTCCATGAAGTATAGCATAAAATTAAATGATTGTCTCGGTGCAAAAAATTGTATATTCATCAGGCACAGTCATACCTATTTGAAAGATTATACATCACCTACCATATTAGACAACAGTCCATATTCCGACCACTGCTACAAAGATTCAAGTTGAACCCTGGTCTAAGAAATATACTAAACCCGAAGAGATGCCTTTTTACCCAATTAAAAAAGCATAAAGTATCAGAAGACATGTCAATGAATTTGCTAAAGCAAACATACCATTTCAGAACCATTATCAAGCTTAAATAAAAGAGAGAAATGCCAATTATTTACCTCTTCCACTGCAATTTCTAGAGCCACTTTTGTCACTTTCCCAACTGGGGAGGTCAAAATCAATATACACCCAACATTCACAACCTCAGGTCCCTTTAATAGATTATTACCTCGCTGTAAAGACCCAATAACACCACTGCCCAATACATCTTCTAGGCGAATTTACTGAATTCCATCAACAGGTTTTACACACTGCATATGCAAAAAACCTCAGAAATTACGTATTTTCTTTTAATAGGTTTAGCAAAACGACCCTTAAGGACCCGAGTCATTTATTCACAATAAACAGATGCAGCAGCCTTTTTTGATGAATCTGAAATTCCGGAGTATGGAATACAACCACAACCATCCCATCCACCTATTATAGTGGCGACTTCAATTCAACCCTAATGCTAGAGATCACTCAGGCAAAAATCAAACATTTCCTTAAAGGGTTGAACGATTTAAGGAAGAAGAACAATTTAAGGAAGAAGACTCACCCATTTCATAAGCCTAGAGGATAGGAAAAAGCCTCTCTGGTGCAGTGGCTCTATGACCTACTGACGGCACTAGAAGATCCCCCTATTGCTTTCATGAGATTGGAGGTTGTATGTTTCTTCTTCCATTCATAGCAAACCACTTTAGAACACATTAGAAGAAACATAATAATTGTTCATCTAAAAATCTTGGGATAATACTAAGAATACAATACTTTACTTATTTACATAGCTCCATTAGCGTACCTGATACATTGGCGGAAATTTTTAGAGAAGCTTCCTTAATACGCTGGCTGAGAGGCGTACCTGATACATTGGCAGAAATTTTTAAAGAAGATTTCCTAATACGGGTATGAATTGTTGTAGATGTGGCTACGTCTTTTTGAGTCATTTCGTCAAACACACAGTGAGCATTGCTCATCCAAACCAATTCCTTATCTTCAACTACAAAATCAGACATCTACTTGAGTAAATATGTAAAATCGAAGATAAGAAGAAGAAGAAAAAGAAAATGAGGAAGTAGAAGACCTGCAGCTGTAGGCAACCCTTGGTCGAGGCTATTTCACGCAGCCCTCCCCTTCTATTTTTTTTATCAAAGATGGAGATGCTCACTGCCGTTGTGCGGTCGTGGAAGAGAATCGGCCAGCGGACGGATAGAACCCATGATCCGAAAGAACCACGCTGCGGACTCCGGCCGAAGATAAGAGCAGCGGCGCACGTCTTTGCTGAAGCACCACATCTGAGAGGATGAATGACAGCGTTGAAAGAAACCTAGATAAAATCGCGTGCGAAATCCCAGACAAAAATCGCCAGTATTGGGATATTGAACTTGAGCCCGAAGCTTATGTAAATTGATCAGCCGGTGTTGTGCTTCCTGTTCTCGCCTCTTCTAGATCACAGAACCTAAAACTCAAAGATGTGTTTATCTAAGTAAACAAATATACTCCATATTTGATTTTAAATACTCTGTTCAGCTACCTGAACTCCAATTCACACATCCAAACTTGAGTTCAATATAAATGGCGCACTATAACTTAGCTCAGCGATGTTTGAAATCCCAAATCCAAAATCGCATGCGAAATCAGTTTACTGCCAAATCAAAATGAGTATCATAGTAGAATTATTAATCTGCCAAATGACGGAGAGAGTATTATATCGCAAAATTTCTCGAAGCCGTTCAAAAGAAACCCTAGAAACCCGGAAGATCAGTGAGTATGGCGGACGCAAAGCTTCTCCAGTACTCCGGTGCATCTAAAATGATTGAGTATGTGGGAAGATTTTTCATCTGAATGTGCGTCCAAATCTCACGGGTACTGTAGCATATAAAATGGGCGGGAACACTGTAGAAAAACACATCTTACCATTGTATATAGTAAGATTACTTATTACTTATTCTTATTTGAATCAGATCAGATCTGAAAAAACTTTAAATAGGATTACAATTAGATCAAGTAATATAACATAAAAAAATTATTCCAATCAGATGAGAACTAATCAGATCAAGTGAAAAAAGAACATGACCTTAATCTCTAAAATATTTTCCTCTTTAAATTGTTTATGTTCCAAATAGTCATTTAATTATCTATTAAAAGGTTATTTTTAACTCTATTAATTATTACCTTATCTATTACACTATATTCATTCACTACTAATATACGTATCACATCAAGAGTAACTTTGAAAATTTTTAAACTAAAATAATTCATCTCTTAAATTTCATAAAATTTCAAAAGAGAAAAGTGTTTTCGGTTGGAGGGTGTAATATTCTCCACGTCCCTAATTTAATTACAAATTGAGAGTTACGAGGTAAACCTCTCGTCTTTGAAATCATTTTATTTACAAATTGATATATCAATAAGAAATAAAAATTATATATAAAAAGTATGTCAAAAACTCTATAAAACGAGGGGAGAAGAATATTTTATTTAATCAAATACTCAATGAAAAAATGCAAATAAACAAAAGTTATCGAGAGCAGAGAAAAGAAGTTTATAATTAAAATTGGGACTAAGAGAGTATAATGAATAAAGTCCATTTAAAAAAAGGTAAAAAAAAATGTAAACAGAAAATGACCCGAATTGTATGAAGCACCACAAATAAATGACATTACAAATCATAAAAGCAATAATCAAACTTAGAAGTAATACTCCATGCTTATTCAGTTATTTGTTGCCATCAAATGTTGATTATACAGGATTTCTTGGAGTCTTCCACACTTTAACACTGTTAGAAATTATACTGGTGAGAAGGGTAATTTTTCACCTGCCAAACTCTATTTAGAACAGAAAGGTGGCCACACTGCAGTTCTCTCTCTCCAGCGTCCTCTCCAGACAAGGAAGTTGAATTCCGACATGGCTTCCTTATCTTGTTCGCCGTCTCGGTCCAAGTCTACTCGAGCTGATTCTAGCGAGTTCTTCACTGTTAACATCAATGCCGGTTCCATAGAAACCGAGCTGTCCAACGATGCGGCAATGACTGAGGCTAGAGAAAACCGTGATGAAGTGGTACACCGTAGGTCGAATTCCGGCGGCCAACAGCGCACTGGTGGTGGGGAGGAGATTGTGGCATATTGTACCACTCCATCTCCTGGTAGAAATTCAGGGCTTTTGTCTAGGAAGATGAAGTCCAGGCTGTTGGACCCCCTTGAGCCGGAAAGGATGACCCTAAAGTCAGGGTGTGAAGGCGAGGAAGATGAAGACCCTTTCATGGATGAGGACGTACCTGAAGCTTTGAGCAAGAAGATCAACCTTTTGAATCGTCCTTTGACTACACTGCAATGGGTCAGTTTTATCATTCTCACTGCAGCTCTCTTCTGTACTTTCAAGATTCATGTGCTAAGAAGTATGATTTTTGCTGGCCTTTACTTATGGAAATGGGTCTTTATGATGTTCTTGTTGATCTTTGCATGAATTCTTTCTGGTGGGGGGGGTGGTAAGAATTCTAGTCATCTTTATGGAACGCAACTTTCTGTTGCGAAAGAGGGTTCTTTATTTTGTCTATGGACTGAGAAATGCGCTACGAAGCTTTGTTTGGTTGAGTTTAGTCTTCATTGGTTGGGAGTGCTTGTACAATACGAGGCATGAGAGGGTCACTGAAAACAAAATACTGCCACTAGTGACCCGAATCTTGATATGTCTGCTCGTGGGAATGTTTGTAAGGCTTGTAAAGACACTGCTTGTAAAGGTCCTAGCTCTGTCATTTCATGTTAGCGCATTCTTTGATCGGATTCAAGAGTCCCTATTCGATCAATATGTGGTTCAAACTATGTCTGGCCCTCCGTCGACTGGGATTTCCCGTGAGCAAGAGGGGGAGGACGACAAGACAGTGGCCACTACAAGCAGCCTACCTGCATGGTTTTCAAGATTCATGCCTATGAAAAACAAGTCTGAGGGGAGAAGAAGCACTCTCGATCACCCGAGGAGGCTTACTCAGAAAAATATCTCAGCCTAGACTATGAAGAGGCTGATGCGGATTGTTCGGAAAGGTGTGTTGTCCACCTTAGATGAACGGCTTCATGAGTCCAGAGGTAGAGATGAGATTAATCTACAGTGGCGATTACAAGTGAGAAACTGGCAAAAGTTGCAGCCAAAAAGATTTTCAACAATGTGGCTAAGCGAGGCTCCGAGTGAGTACTATTTACTTACTGTGTGATTTGCTGTTTAAAACTCAAAATTAGTTTCCTGAACTAGCTTAATCCCTTTGCGGAGCTTGTTACAGATTTATTAATTAGCAGAAAACTTCGTCATCAGCATTTACCTTTTTTCTGTGTTTTCTCTTAATTTGCACTGATTCAGATTTGTACTTATTACAAACTTGCAATGATGTGGAAAATTCAGATTCATTAATTACAAATTTGTACTAATTACCTTTTTTCTATGTTTTGTCTTAATTCACTAGTCTATAACTACACTTTAAATCTGGATTTTTCACATCATTGAATGAAATTCCAAATCTGAATAAGTCACATCAGTCCAAGGGAACTTGTGTTGTTGTGTATCAAGTTATATAGTGGGCTTCATTCCATTTGTAAAAATTGGCCTACTTGTGTTGTTGTGTATCAAGTTATATAAGGTGGACAACACACCTTTCCAAACAATCCGCATCAGCCTCTTCATAGTCCAGGCTGAGATATTTTTCTGAGTAAGCCTCCTCAGGTGATCGAGAGTGCTTCTTCTCCCCTCAGACTTGTTTTTCTTAGGCATGAATCTTGAAAACCATGCAGGTGGGCTGCTTGTAGTGGCCACTGTCTTGTCATCCTCCCCTCTTGCTCACGGGAAATCCCAATCGACGGAGGGCCAGACAAAGTTTGAACCACATATTGATCGAATAGGGACTCTTGAATCCGATCAAAGAATGCGCTAACATGAAATGACAGAGCTAGGACCTTTACAAGCAGTGTCTTTACAAGCCTTACAAACATTCCCACGAGCAGACATATCAAGATTCGAGTCACTAGTGGCAGTATTTTGTTTTCAGTGACCCTCTCATGCCTCGTATTGTACAAGCACTCCCAACCTATGAAGACTAAACTCAACCAAACAAAGCTTCGCAGCACATTTCTCAGTCCATAGACGAAATAAAGAACCCTCTTTCGCAACAGAAAGTTGCGTTCCATAAAGAGGACTACATTTCTTCCCCCCCCCCCACCAGAAAGAATTCGTGCAAATATCAACAAGAACATCATAAAGACTCATTTCCATAAGTAAAGGCCAGCAAAAATCTTACTTCTTAGCACATGAATCTTGAAAGTACAGAAGAAAGCTGCAGTGAGAATGATAAAACTGACCCATTGCAGTGTAGTCAAAGGACGATTTAAAAGGTTGATCTTCTTGGTCAAAGCTTCAGGTACGTCCTCATCCATGAAAGGGTCTTTATCTTCCTCGCCTTCACACCCTGACTTTAGGGTCATCCTTTCCGGCTCAAGGGGGTCCAACAGCCTGGACTTCATCTTCCTAGACAAAAAGCCCTGAATTTCTACCAGGAGATGGAGATGCAGAGGTGGTACAATATGCCACAATCTCCTCCTCTCCACCACCAGTGCACTGTTTGCCGTCGGGATTCGACCTACGGCGTACCCCTTCATCACGGTTTCCTCTAGCCTCAGTCATTGCCACATCATTCGACAGCTCGGTTTCTATGGAACCGGCATTGATGTTAACAGTGAAGAACTCGCTAGAATAAACTCCTAGTATGAGTTTTTAATTTTTTAAATAGTTAACATAAGGTCAAACATGTTATACCAATTAAAGTTGATCTTGCAATGGTTAGTTTAAGGATGGAAAGAAAGTCTAAAAGTGAAAAGAATGATATACCTTTAAAAGCTGTCTCCATAGAATTCAAGAAATAAAGAATAATTATACTCAGTATAAAGCAAAGTAGAATACCTTCCACCTGCTGGCCTAATATTGAAAAATGAACGATAGAAGATGACCATCCTTGCACACGAAGCATGCAAGAGATGAAGATAATGACCGAGCAAGGATTTGTAGATCCATTTATATGAGAGTTGGACACACGCTCTTCAATTAAGCCATAGATGATTGAAATTAAACTTGGCTAAAAGTTGGATCTAATCAATGATACCGGGTGTTTGTCGTTGTTTATACAATTTGCCAATCCTAAAAAGTTCATTAAATAAAATGGGCGGTCCTCGTTGATCTTTTCAAAACTTAAATTCATACAATTGTATGAAATGCCTTCAGATTTATTGTAAAATCTAGAATAGTCACTCATCAGAAATAGAGTTTGTGGAGAGGCTGTGTGAGCAGAAGAACCCTGAGTTAGCTCCTCCAATCCTTCATTGTCTGAGCGGTGGCCTTAACCTAATCGACTCCTCCCCTCCTCCTACGATGTAGCAGTTGTATAAAAATACTCATAATATCAAATTATAGAGAAATTTTACCCTAGAAAAAAAACGTGGGTGTATCACAAGTCCACTTGTCTTTAGTGTATTGCTACCGTCAACATTAGTTTCCCCATGAACGGTGTTTTTTATTTGTCTCTAGCCGAGCCAAAACACGGTCATCACTATGGAGACCATACATTTTATTTGGCTTCCAAACAAAACTCTCTATGGGAAACTCATACAAACATTTCAGCATTGTCTCCAAAAGCAAATCAGCACAGCTGATTTCAAATATCCAATACAATTTTTTTAGTGTTTGATTCATTCTTGTAAGTTGTAAGGCTCATCATCATATTAGAGCTCATGCAACACTACTTAAAAAAGATGAGAAGAGGTTAACCAAACAGAAAAGCAAAGAAAGTTTCACCTAAAGTATGTAACATCGGCAAACTTTTAACATGAGAATTCTTTTCTGCCTCTATAATGGCAATCTAATTTTTGGTCTATGCTTATTTATCTGAATCTCACTGTCAAAACATAGCAATCAAGACCTACATGCAGTGTTCATCAAAAGTTTTTTCTAATTTTTTTTACTGGTATGCATAAGGCTTTTTTTTAATGTAAAAGTAGACAAAGAATGTAGCATACAATAACAGTAAATCTGTAACAAATTTTTTATAAATGAATAGTGAGATCAAACTCGTTTCCTTTAACAAATGGTTGAGAGATGGTGCGATTGGTGCCTAAGCATAAAAAAATGAACAGAATGTAAATGAACCAAAAATCACAGTAATAATCTTCATTTAATATCCTTGCTTTAAATTATATTCGTAACCAATGAGATTGGATCCAAAATGACCGGACATTTTATTTTTTTTTCTCAAACACTTTTAATCTATAAGAATATTTCAAGTCATAGGCACCATTTAAAATCTGGAGACCGAAGAGACCAAAAATTGATTTGGAAAATCAAATACATATGATTATAAAAGTCATGATTTTGAAAATGTTTATTTTGGATACTCTAATTTATCATTCTAGAAATCAAAATATATCTAAATATGAAATCTTTTTTTCATGAAAATAAAATTTAAATAAAAAAGTACCCCGTAATACCGCAGCACCTTGAGACCTGAATCTTCTTCTCTGCGCCATGTCCGAATGGTCATCTGGCAGTCGTCCGCGCCGTCAGTCTCTTCCTCAATTGGGCCTAGGGTTTGAAGCCCTAGGCCGGCGACGGTCCTGCTGAAGTCTAGCCGGCCGCCTTGTCCAGCCACCTAAGTCTTTCGCGCCATCAGTCACCATCATCTACGACCTTTGTGGACTTTCGCCGCTGCATTGGAGATGGGTAGAAAGATACTCCCCCGTCCAAGATTCTGAGTTTAATAAAACATGAAATTTGCTTTGACTTTCCTAAAATACCCCTGCATCCCTTACCCCTTATCTTCTCTTCTGGTCTGTGCGCAATCGGATCCCCCCTCCCAGGCAGAACCTCCTCGCTGCCCCCCATTATCGTCGATGGCCGCCTTGATGGTCTGCCACGTCAACTCCGACCGCCGCCTCACTATTCGCCGTCACCTTAGCCCGCTCCTTCAATTTCAAAAAAAAAAGATGAAGAAGGAAGAAATTTGGGGCTCCTTCCCTCCGGCCCAACACGCCATCATCAATTGGTGCCTAATCTCCGCCACCACTGTCGATTTCTTTCGCGACGCGGATCTGAATCGAAATTCTCAGATCTGACGGAGATGGACAAGAAAGAAGAAAAGAAAGGTGAAGAGTTGAAGATGGATTGGGCATTGGACTATGGGAATTGAAGAAGAAGAAGAGAAGAGGAGGAGGAGGAGGAGATCGGACTGCCCTATCACCTCCGACCACCTCTACCGCCTCGCTGCCCCACCTTTACCCGATTGCTGCTTCATTGCTCTCAATTTACATGAAAAAATCAGTAGAGGAAAGGAGCAGAAAGAACAAAAAGAAGAAGAAAGAAGAAGAAGATAAGAAAAGAGAGAAGGAGAAGAAGAGAGAAGAGAGAGAAAGAAAAAGTGATTTAGGGAGTGGGTGGGAAAGGAAACGGATGGGGGAAGAAAAAAAAAAGAAAAGGTAAGGAGTGGGTTGGGAAGTTAATTTAGACTTTTTGGTATGAAAAACTTTCCAAAAATAGAAATGGGAAGATTATTTTTGGACGGACGAAAAAGGAAAGTGATAACTTTATTTATAGACGGAAGGAGTATATTAATAGAAATAAATAAATAAAAAGCATACTTGACAAATGTCAGCAAGAGTTACGTTCGTCGGAGTGGGTCTGCAGGATTGAAAAAGCCGATCACACTAAAATGGAGCAGTATTGCAGGATTGAAGAGTTCTTCTTCATCATCTTCTTCTTTTCTTGCTCTTCTTCTTATTTGAAATGGAGCAGTATATCCTTTATATATAAAATTTGGGAGTTTAGCTTCCAGAATGATGACATTTGGCGTGTTGACTGGACAGAATTTTAAAAAACTCATCAGCCATGTCATCAACGGATCAATTGGGATTTCCTAATTAATTTGGATCTAAAGGAGTAATTAAAGGACCATGCCCAATGGATGGCTATATATTTAAGAAATTTTTTTGAAAAAATTTTAACAACTCATCAGCGATGTCACAAACGGAAGTGTATCAATCGAGCAATTTTTTCACATGTCAGCACGCTATGTCATCAAGTACTCCCTCCGTCCCACTGTCTTTGTCCACTTACCTTTTGGCACACCATCCAATGCACTTCTTTAATTCATTTTATCTTGTAATTTGTATATTAAAAAATTATAAAAATTATATATTAATAATCTATATGTTAAGACGAATCAAACAAGATCACACATGACTATTTTTAGGCTTACACATTGAGAGAATTTGATGAGTCAAAGTGCTTAGATGAAGAGTTCCAAAAGTCAAAAGTGGACAAAGACAGTGGGACGGAGGTAGTAATATTTAAGGTATTAGTTAACAAAAAAACTTATTCTATGGAAATTAAATTTTGTATTTGCTACACATAAATTTCTCAACATAATTGCGTTTAAAAACTTTTATATCTTAATTCATTCTGGGAAAATATCTAAAGTAAATAATATATTTTGAATTTGAAAAAAAGAACTCATATTAAAAAACAATTCAAACAAATAAATTTATTCTGAGAATGTATAGATTGGTAAGACTAAAAGAAATTACATGTGAATATTTGTTTTTACTTTGAATTGATACTAATTGGAGAGATCTACAAATTTTGAAAAAATAAAAATAAATATATAAAAGGAGATGAATTTTAATGAGCATGTTTTTTTGATAGAGCATTGATTTTATTCTGTATATATTAAAAAAATTCTAAGTCAAACAACAAGTACGTTCTATTTTAAAATTAGTATTTTTTATTTTTAAATTATTATTTTTCATTACTATATTTGTAAAAATTTATAGATGCGTGCCTCAAAATTACTATTTTTAATTAATAATTTGTAAAATGGTGAAGACTTGGTACGAGGGTACGTATATGTAAGAAATTAATTATTAATTAGTGTTTCTAATCGAAATTATCTACACAAAGTTGTTGCTCTAATAGTTAGAGATCTTGATTCATCTAATGAAGAAAGATACATCATCATTCTGAAAAAGATGAATTCTTACTAAAAGTCCATGAGACACATACTGCTTTCCTACCTCTGTAATACTCTTTTTTGTTTCCTTTAGTGGAGGATGATTATGAAGAAAATATCCATATAAGGGAATCATTTTTGTGCAAAAAAATGTAAAGCGCCAAAGAGTGTCAATACGAGAATTTGTTGCATTTCAAATATAAGAAAGAAAAATGATGTGTGTTGTTTGCACAAAGATTATTTTTATAATTTTTGGTTGATGCATACACGATAGTTGAAGCACAAAGAATCCAGTACGTGCATTTAAACTAGGATTAAGTTATTGAGAAATTATGAGTAGCTCACATGAAGTTGTGATCAAAGATGATACTGAATCGGTACTCATTGGGCAACAAATTATCCTATCATCTACATTCACTGGGGGAATGAGATATATGTTTAACAACTAACAAGATTTAATGGCCATTTGTTGAAGATTTGGTTATCCAGATTTATTCATTACTATAACATGTAATCCCCAATGGCCAGAGATTGCAACATATATGACAATAAGAAAATGTGAAGCTAAAGACATACCTGACATTGAATCTTGAATCTTTAAAACAAAATTGAACCATTTGGAGAACGACATAAAATAGGGTTTATATTTGGCAAAGTAATTAGATGTAATTTTAAAGTTTCCTATATTAGTTTCATTTAAATAATAAAGTTGTAGTTTGGACATTCAATTTAAAATATTGTCATTTGAACATAATAATTTTGTGCATGTTTGTACACTACTGTTGACTTTCAAATGAGAAGTTTTTCTCATGCACATATCTTAATATAGTTACACCTGAGGGATAAACTTCAATCGCTTGAGTCAATTGATTGTGTGGTATGTGTATAGGTTCCTAATAAAGATAAATATCCTAGATTTTATGAGCATGTAACTCGATTGATGATGCATGGTCCATGTTGCATACTTGATCCTAGATTTCTATATATGGAGAATGGTAAATGCGAGAAATATTTTCCCAAAAAATTTCTTGATAAGACATCATTTGATGAGAATGACTACCTGATATACAAAAGAAGAAACTTGAAGGTCACCACAATGAGAAAGAATATTGAGTTAGATAATCGAATTGTTGTGACATACAACCCAAAACTCTTGATGAGGTTTCAAGATCAATCAACATTGAATATTGAAATAAATCCAATTAATCAAATATCTCTTTAAGTATGTAAATAAAGATCTAGATAAAGTATCTATTGCAATTATCCAAACTTTGACATTGTTGATAATATGGTGTGTGATGAAACAGATAAGTATTATGATTGTCATTACGTATCTACATGTGAAGCCTCTTGGAGAATCCTCTCTTTTGATACACAACAGAGGTAGTGATCAGTATTGAGGTTGAATTTTCATATCCCATGGCTAAATTTTTTAACATTTAGGCACCAACAAAAACTAAAAGATGTTGTTGAATAAAATATTGATAAAGTCTCAATGTTTGAAGCTTAGATGATTTCCAATACACAGTATAATGCGGGATAAAATTTGACGTATGCAAAGAGTTTTCAGAATATTTTATGTACAACCACAAAGTGCGGAAATGGGTTGAGGCAACAACGACCATCAATAAGCAAGCTACAATATGTGCTTACAGAAACTAGAGAGTTATACTACTTGAGAAGTATTAACTGTACGTCCATCAAGGATGTACAAGTTATAAGTGCTTGAGGATAGTTAACAATGTTCTACATACCAATTTCAAGTTTATTTATATTGATTACCTGATTTATTTTATTAATTTTGTATCGTTTTAGTTACTTTTCTAATTTTCCTTATTTTTTATATCTATTATTTTTATTTTTTTAAAGTAAGACTATCTTTTAAAAAGGAAAAAAAATGATGGAGGTAGAAAGTAATTTCAAAAATTTAAATGAAAGTTTTAAAAAAATTAAAAAACGAAAATTTTTCAAAAATAATCCAACTTTCATTTTGTTGCGCAAAACAGGCCGTTTCCATTAACCCCCCGTTAGCAGCTTAACGGAGACCCAAAACTCACAAATTTCACTAAAGTTGGTATTATCATTTATCACAGTGAAAGATGTGATTATTTTTTAAAAATCGGACAAAATTAGAATTATTTTGGATAATATTTCCTTTTTTTATAAAAGAAAATAACTTTCTAGTGATCCGATTTTATATAAACGAACAATGCACTTGTCTTGGAGGAGAATGCTATGGAGATTGGAGAGAGGAGAGAGTTCGAAAGGGACATAAAGCAACTTTTCCATGCCAACAAATTTTTTAACCTCGGTCCCATGGAAAGCTACCATACAATCAAGCTCAAAAATAAACTTCCCTCTCTTGAAATTAATATTTCACTTTCATTTTGGTAGTTAATCAGCTCTCTTTTCTTATTTTTACAATATGTTTCAAAAGATACATTAAATTTTCATATTAATTTATTACTAACATATTTATTTTGAAACATAATTTTGAAATATTTTATTTTTATAATACTTCATATATATATATATATATATATATGACGCGTAAAAGAGTCATGACTCGAATAATGGTAGTGAGACAGCGAAGTTAGTGCACAATATTCAATGGAGCTAGTAATTACCCATTCGTAGCGAAAATAAATTCTCATTAGTAATTCATATTTGCCGAACACAACATGCTACATAATTCTTATCAAATTTACTTCATTATAAAAAAAACTTGATGTGCTGATGTCATCAATTTTTTTTAAGGATCTTTTGGACTTTTCC